ATGTCAGACGTGAGAAACGTAAGACTATTTTAGTGGAGAACATTTCCTGTTGCAATTAAATTAAATACTGTCAATATTTCATTGCATCAATAAAGTAATGGTTAAAGCGAAGGAGTTTGACTGTTTTTACGAGTAAATAATAACAATTTTAATCAATGTTTCGGCTTTAAAATAGCCGCTCGGATGTTCATGATTTTCTACAAATTAATTTGGATTTTTATATTTTGCATAGATCTACTATGAAGTAAATATGAAGTAACTAATGGACCACTCCTTATGTTTTTTAAAATAAAAACATACAGTAGTGAATGTTGCTGTCCATCTATGAGTGAATTACACAAATGCCGAGTAGTAAATTGAAATCATCTTGTTCGGCCCTAAATGAACTCGACCAAGTCGATCATCTCGGCCACGATCTGCATCCGTTCAAATAATCCTTATGATCTGTTAAGAAATTATCAACAGACGTTTTGTGATAAATAATAACACCAGTGGGTATTAATTAATTTTACATAGGCTAATACTTGAACAGGCTGGTGCTTTAAACCTATAGATACCACACTGTGACAGACCCAGCACAGTGTTGGGATAGTTTAAAAAGGTAATTCTAAAAAAAAATATACTTTATATATAATATATAGACTTTATTATATATACAGTATATATATTTTTTTAGAATTACTTTTTTTACACTATCCCAGCACTGGGCTGTGTCCCTGTGATAGATACCTTTTATCACAGACACTTGGGGTGCCTTTAAAATCCAAATAAGATATATCTTTATCAATTATCAATCCCAGCACATGTACTGATCATATATGTAAAAAAAATTAATATAAGCTGTTTTGAAAAAAAAATCATATTTCAAGGTCTAAAATAATACACACACACGAGCTCCACATCCCAAGTGACTGTGCCTTTTAACTGCACTGTGCTGTCCTATAAACTTACATGCTAGAAGATCTTTCGTTTTAGCAGAGGAGATCTACACATTCTTTCAAGCATCACTGGTTGCAGAAAACACTATTGCAGGAATGATTGGGTACCAAATTTATTTTAAGCACCAAACTATAATCTTACAGCAATGCTACACCAATAAATCAAAGTTCCCGGCAAGTTCAAACACAACCATTGTTAGGTGCTCAACATTTTATATTTCGATATAATGAATAACCCCAAAAAACATGTTTCAATCATAAACATGATCTTTAGACTTGTAATCAAGTTTTCACTTTTCAAGTCATTACAGTCAGGTAATAAACATAAATTATAACTGAAGAAATAGAGGATAGCCAAGTTTTTTCTATAAATACAATATTTATTTTCATTGCTTGGTATAAACATAAATATTTCATGAGTGGTGGTTGCCACAAGTGAAACATGATAATTTTCATACTACAAACTATTTATAGAAAATACTTAAATTTACTTGTTTATTATATGCATTTGTATATGTAAGAGCCAAAATTATACTTTTATTAAAAATAGTGGGCCTAATATTTATCTGGCTCGACTAAACCTTGTTATTAACAAGGGCTGCATGCTGGTGAATTCAAAATTTATTTTTAGCTTGAGTATATGTAGAGCAGTGCTACTCTCTCATGCATTGGCATCTGTACTATTCAGTTTTAGTGCAGCAATATAATTTGATATTTCATTTTTTTAACTTTTAACTTCAAATATTATATATGTTCCTTATCATCACTCACATAATATGGGACTCCAGTTATTTTTCTCACTTAATAGAAAGGGACCTTAGATTTAGGTAAAAATTATTGCTAAAATTTCCACTTTGGGTAGAAAATCAGCTGGTGTACATAAGGAAAACTGCATTATTTCAAAGAAAAATTCAATTGGACTCTAGCATCAATATTTCTAGAATTAGCTCCCCTAAAGCCTAGTATAAGTTACTCTATACATGTTTTTACTCTAAACATAACTTGAATTTACTTCTTTTTTCAGGGATACACTTCAATATAATCAAAGTCCCTTAGCCTTGGTGCTACAGAAATAAGTGTTGATTAATGAAAAAAATAAATATTTAAGCGAAACCTGATTCAAACTTTGTTGCTTTAATTTAATAAATATTAGACTGCTGCATTATCTTACTACCTGAACCATACTAGGGATAGTGGTTCACAAAATGTGTGTTTGATAATAACTTACTAATAAATATAAAGGGGGGGATTTCGGCCCTCTACCAACTTGGCACGGGTCAAATGGGCACAGGCCAACTCGGCCCACTTTTGAAAAAAAACATAACTTTTTCTGATAACTGCAAGCTGTTTCAAACTTTTTTCCTTGACATGTCAAAGTCAAACATTCAGTATCAGGCATAATTTCAGTTTCAAAGTCAAACCGGCAATCAAAAATAAACATGCATGAAACAATTTGCTGATCACTTATAAATTCAATATAACAATCTGGCACATAGTAAATATTTACAATTTCTCCAAGAAAATCGCCTGGCCTGTTTGTTATGTTTATCGAAATAATATGACGTGAATATCGATGATGTCATTTTGGAAATTATTTATAAATTGTGACGTCACTTCATTAAGTTGGTGCTTAAAACTTAACTATTCGCTATCTAATCTGTTCTTAATTGAAAACGAATAAAATAACAAAAAGACTTGTCAGGATATTAGATAAAATTGTTGGATTAAAGGCTAATAAGCTATTGAAACAAGTCTGTTAAAATGGGGGGAGCTTATTTTTGATATCAGGTTACTAACCTGATATCAAAAATAATTATCAGTCAAGTGTTATCGAGCAGTTATCATCGCAGTTGCATGATAAAAATTAATATAATACAAATGTGTTCCCTTCAAAATGATGCTTTTTGTTTGTAAAGTGATCTTCAATAAAAAAAGAAATATAAACTTGTTTACTTATTATATAAAATATTTTTAAATGTTTGTTATTTATCTTGTATACATAAAACAACATGTAATGCATTTATCAACAGGCAATGTATTTTGCAATGTCACAAGGATGGATTGTAATGAATTCATATATCCCAAATCATTGAAAACTCTATTACCAAAAATGTAATAATAATTTAAGAAAACGTCTTTCAACGTTTGTGAATAAGTCCATTTATCCTGCTACTGTCTATATCATCAGCTGGATAAAGCTTTGCCTGATAAACTTATCTATCTCCAGTCATTACGTCATATGATTACGTCACGTGTTTAGCAGCAAAACAAAATTACATATAGATGCTATTTTATCGGGGAAAAAGAAGAATGAAACCATCTAATTATTATAAAAACACGATTAAAGCAGGATAAATCAAATACATGGTTGATGTCGGGATGGAGAAGGTTTATCCGGTTCGCTACGAAAGTGAATCTTGGTTTATCCGGTTCGCTACGAAAGTGAATCTTGGTTCGCTTAAGCTCGCCAAGACACTTTCTCGCTCACCGGATAAACCTTCTCCATCCCGACATCAACCATGTATTTTCTATATATCAATAATATGGTTCCAACAACAGACAGTGATAAAACAAACCAATATATTAACACTGATAATCAGATTAATAAATTTTTAAGTGGGCCGAGTTGACTATGGAGTTGATCCGTGCCGAGTTGGAATAGGGCCGAGCTGACTCGGGGCCGAGCCGACACTTATTCAAATCAAATACATATAATTAGACAATATATCAGTAAATTTAAGTGTGCCATACCCCTAGATCTACAAATGTCGGCTGGCTGGTCGGCTAAAACAAAATTAAGAAACGAAAGGTTGAGCTACATACCGCCCATTTCTTAAAACAGACGGGCCGAAACAGACTGACATGGCCTACAGTACCTGTAAGCATTAATAAAAACTAACATACTTTCATCGATGCTTGAAATAACCACATTCTAATATAAAATATCAAAACAAGCTTACCTCGATCAAAGCTCTTCGATTTTCCAGGATTTTCCATCAACTCGACATCGGGAACGAACGATGTCGAAAGACTGCCACTGATTTGGCCACACGATACGTTGTCACAGATAAATAAAAGTTGGTATCGTAGAAAATATCTCTATGCTCATGAATAAAAGGAAGAACTACACTTTGATTAATTAATGAGCTTCTAAACGAGGTTAACACACAATTGTACCAGAAAGTCTTACATTTCTCACGGCCCCGTCCGACAACTACCTGCGCATGCGCAGATCGTAAAGTCTTACGTTTCTCACGGGTCTGACAAAATTCACGCCACACCGGTATCACCTGCTACTTGTTATGCAGGTGCGACCTCATATACCCTTATGTAAAAATATTGAAAGTTCATGATAACGATATTTTGCTCTGGGATTCTCGTAATATTATAAGCATTGCTGTATATATATTATAGATGAACTTCATTGATGATGATCTTTTTGTAGGTCAACGTTATACTTTTAACCAAGGCCACCAAAAATATTTATAGCTCTGAAAACAATGATGACATCGACGACCCTAGCACGTGTGCAATGTTCAGCCAAGGAAATGAATTAATTGATTTATTAATCATAATAAGTAAACACTCTTTACACTTTAATTTCAAACCTTAAAAAAATATCGTTTTATTCCAATATAAATATGCCTCTTTAAACACAAATTAACCGATTTCATGGATTTTTCATAAACCAAGACTCTTAGTTATGCTTTATTTTAACTATGTATAATGAAATATATGCAGCCTCAGCGTTGCTCGTGTTTACCTATATAAATATAAAATATTTTATGGACAATTGTACTGACAAAATGTACTGAAAAATGACAAAGTTTTTGTTTCTCTCGCCTTGCACACGTTTGTAGGAATGTTTAATTTTTGCTGAATCAACATGTCATAAGGATATTTAGATTTTTAGATTGATCAAAGTATTTAGGGAAAAAATGGATAGCTGTATAGATTAAATATTAAATTAAAATGGTTTCTTTGTGTGAAGCAATGCAGTCGGAAACTTTAACATTAATCATATATTAGCTCAAATTTCAACATGCGCGTTTTCTTTTTTAGGAAATGATTCGTGGCAACATTGAAATAAATCGTCGCAACAAGGTAGGTGAAATTTCAATATTTTGGCAAACTAACATATCTTCTGAAAATACAAAATAAGTATACGAATACATTTCATTAATCATTTAACAAAATACCTTGCCTATAGACAAATATTAATGATACATGAGTAAAGCGAGAAAATAAAAATAAAAGAATAGTTAACAATATATATTTTCACCATTTTTATGTTTAAATGTTGAATTCTGCTTAAGCTGGTGCTAGGGGGCGGGGACGGTAACTTGCACTTTCCAGTATCGTCAATGAACAGGCACAATCAAAAACCGAGCCTGCAACATTTTTTCTATTTATTTTATGGAAGTTCCAGTGCAATTTTTTTGACTACTTATTGCGTAAATTGAAAAAAATGTTATTTTACTAAATTTACAATAACATCATAGATAATTTCTTTAGTGTGACTCTAATTCCGGTGTCGAACAATGTAAGAAGTGCTACCTGTTAGGCTTATGTGATCTCAATACATACATTCATTACCCTGCATAATATTGACAGTATATTTTATCGTTATACACCGAAGTGCTTCTTGTCCTTATACGTACGATTTTTACAAAATGATCTTAAAGGAAACACAGAACAGATCTAGTTTTATATTAATCATCTCTTACAGGAACACCCTTAAACTTTTTAATGTATAAGTTCGACCTTTATTTTCTCTGCGAAGCGATTGGATATTTTTTCTGTTCATGTAACAGTTATTTATATGTAAGAGTTAAAATATCATTTGATCATAGATTAGAACTACTGCTTCATTCTGATTAATACTTCTGCATTTAATTTTGTCATAACCTTAAGTTTGTATAAAAAGTATAAATCTTTTTTTCTTATACAATGCAAATTAAGTCAATGACAATCATATTCATGTGCCATTTTTATTATTTGATCATATAGAAAAAAACTTAAGATTAATAATTTACGTTAATTGCCTAAGTATTACCCTTACCATGTCCGGTATCATCCAGATGTAAAATTTGCTAATTGTTATGCAGGCGCGACCTCAAACAGGGAGTGACGTACATATATCCTTACGTGGTCATGATAACGATATTTTGCTCTGCGTTTCTCGTAATATGACCAGCAATGTATGTGACTTAATTAATGTATTTATCATAATAAGTAAACACTCCTTACAGTTTTATTTCAAACATAAAAATACCATGTTATCTCAGCATAAATATATCATTCAAAACACAATCTAACTAATTCCATGCGGAAGTTGTATAAACCAAGACACTGAGGTAGAAATTCGCGTTGTCCTTGGTGACATATGCGTCATGTAACCTATGTATCAGATAATATATATCCATCCTCAGCGTTGCTCGTGTTTACCAATATAAATCTATCATATTTTAATGACAATTGTACTGACAAAATGTACTGACAAAGTTTTATTTTTTTCTTCGTTTGCACATGTTTATAGGAATGTTTAATTTCCGTTGAATCAAAATGTCATAAGGAAATGTAGATGTTACGATTGATCAATGTAATGATGGAAAAACTGGATAACTCTATAGATAAAATATTAAATAAGAGGGGGCTACTCTGTGTGAAGCAATGCAGTCGGAAACTTTGACATTAATCATATATTAGCACAAATATCAAAATGTGCGTTTTCTTTTTTAGGAAATCATTGAAATGATTCGTCGCAACAAGGTAGGTGAAACTTTAACATTTTGGTAAGTTAACTAATCTTCTGAAAATACAAAAAAATAATACGAATACATTTTATTAATCATTAAATAAAAAAAGCTTGCTTATAAACAAATAATAAAATAATAATGATACACAAGGAAAGTGAGAAAATAAAAGAACTGTTAACAATTATAGTTTTCTAAAGAATTTTAATAAAATATAGAAACAAATAAGTTGTACATATATTTTAAAACCATGAAATTGCTCTTCCCTTCGAAAGTCTTGACATAGGGTATCTCTACCCGTAACAAAAACTTGTCCTTCTTGCAAATTAAATTATTTTGGTGAATTACTAAAATATGCATATCGCTTTCTTCGAAGAAGTGGCACAAAGAGCAAGGGGTGGATCGAAACGAAACACTCGATGTTTAGCGCAAGGCGAAATCAACAATATAGTTTACTATCGGAATTAAGAAATATAAAAATTAAAATTAAATCGTGTTTGGAAACCAAATTGATCATTACAACTTTAATCATTTTAACTGATGTCTAAGTAAACCTATTTCACAACTTATGAGAATATAGTTTTGCATGGATATTTAATTTATAATTTGAGCGTCATACACATATTCTTTTTATCAAAGCCTCCCCGAAACTGTAGAATATTCAGCATCTTTAAAGTGTATAATGCTATATATCTGATGTCGATAGTTAAAACAATTTTTCATGCTTTTTGAAAAAGAATAACCCCAAAAATGTATGATACTTAACTTTTAAAAATCCAAATTCATATAGCAGAATAATATTGTGTTCAATAATGGAGAGTGTTAAATAACAGATACATTTGATCCTATTATTCTTTCATGCAAATGTTTGTTTAGGAAGACTTATAATTAGCCGGCTGTTATGTTAAGTAATTTATCCTATTTATTTGTTAATTGTCAGCTACATGTAAAATAATAAGTATGTGTCTGCCTGCCTACCTGCCAGCCTGCCAGCTTGTTTGCTCGCATCCATCCATATAACAAATAGCAATCAAATGACACAGCATTTCAAACAGCCATTAGATTAAACAGGCTTATTCGTCTTACATATCGCTACAGTTTTGAATGTTATAATAAAACACACTAACTTGTTGGTGATATACATCTCGTTAAGACACATTTTCACTCGTTATATTTTTGATAGACAAATTAGCTTTTGCTACTGGCATGGTGTACACACAACCCTTTGGACAAACCCTTAAAGCTGATCAGACTTAACATGACATTCACTCTTAAATGACATCGACCTTCAGCGTCAAATGTTTGATTTTTTTTGCATTTTAGCTATAATTGATAATAACTTTGTTATTTAAGAAAAGATTATTTTTATACTTTGACACAGTAACCCTTTTGACAAGACCTTCAAGAAGACCAAATTGATTATGACTTTCACTCACAAGTGACCAAGACCTTGGTGGTCAAATTAATGAATTTTATTAAATTTTGATATAATTGGCTATTACTTTGTTATTCATCATCGAATTGTCTTCATCTTCTTACTTCATACTTGAGCATAACTCAATACGACCTTCACCTGTAGATAACTGACATAGAAGATTCAATTATTGTCATGTAACGTTTTTATTGCTATAGTTGGCAATTACTTAGTAATTAATGATTGTATTATCCTCATACTTATGCAAAACATTCCTTTGGATTTCCAATAGATTTTATTGAACTTGACATTGACCTAGATTTGACTTTGACACTACAGGTCAAAATTCAAGGATTTTGCAATTATTTTCTGTAACTTTGAAATTTATTTAAAGCATTGATTAAAACTTAGACAAAAGAGCTCTTATGACAAAACATGTATGTTGACATATTTAAATATGACCTTGGCCTTTAATTGCCCTAAACAGTCGAAATAAATTTATAAATTGTCATTACTTTGTTATTTCCTTATTTTGTTATTTTATTTATTTACATATTTAATTCGTACTAATTATGACAAAATATATTGAACAATAAAAAATGACATGGACCCTAAAACTTTGACATTGACTGTTAAGGCCAAGTTATTGAATTTGCTTAAATTGTCATACATGCAAAAATGAGGTCATATAACAAATTAGACATGTTAAATTATTCTGATATGACCTTGACCTGTAATCGACATTGACCGTCAAGGTCATAATATTGAAGTTTGATTAAATTGACATTTTTTGTTTATTGACTTTAAATTCACCTTACCATCAAAGTCAGATTATTGAAATTTGCTTTAAATGTCATAACTTTGTTATCAATTCATGCATTTAAGAAACTTTATGACAAAACTGACATGTTGAATTACTCTAGTTTGAGTTTGTCTTTTATGTGTAACTAAGGTCAAGTTATTGAAATTTGTTTAAATTTCTATAACTTTGTAATTTATTTATACATTTGATTCAATTTTGAGTAAAACATCTACTTGTCAAAAACCAGAAGGTGTAGAGCCATGATATTTGTATGCAACATGATCTAGTGGTCCTACAAGGATTGTTCAAATTATGCCCCTAGGACCGAAAGGAGCCCCGCCCATGAGCGTTACTCGATTTTTTAAAAGTCTTTAAAAATCTACTTATCAAAAACCACAAGGCCTACAGCTTTGATATTTAATATGAAACACCATCTAGTGGTCTTCTACAAATATTGTTCAAAATATGCTCGCTCCTGGGATCAGAAGGGGCCCGCCAGGGGGTTATCGGTTTTATATAAAGGTTTTATATAAAGTTATATAGTAAATATCTCTTGTCAAAAACCACAAGGCATAGAACCCTAATATTATGTATATAACATGATCTAGTGGTCCTCTAAATAGATTGTTCATTTTATGTCCCTAGGATAAAAAGGGGCACCGCAAGGGGGCTTATCGATTGAAAAATATATTAGAAATCGTCATGTCTAAAACCGCAAGGCCTACAGCTTTGATATTTGGTATGTAACATCATCTAGTGGTCATCTACGAAGACTATTCAAATAATGACGCAAGGTCAAAAGGGGCCCTGTCAAGGGTCTCCTCAGTTTTATATAAAGTTATATAGGGAAATCTTAAAAAAATCTCTTGTCAAAGTCCACAAGGCGTTGAGCATTGATATTTTGTTTGTAAAATAATCTAGTGTGGTCGTCCACAATGGTTGTTCAAATAATGCCTCTAGGATGAAAAGGGGCCCGCCAGCCGCCAGGGGGATTATCGATTTTAGTTAAGAAAAATCATTAAAATTCTTCTTCTTAATATCCACAAGCCTTAGAGTCTTGGTATTTAGTATGAAGCATGATCTAGTGTTCCTCTACAAATACTGTTCAAATTATGCCCCTAGAGTCATAAGGGCTCCGCCAGGGTTCTTATCGGTTTTATTCGGAGTTTTTTAGGAAAACCTTTAAATCTGCTTGTCAAAATGTACAAGGCCTACAGTCTTGATTATGTGGTATGTAGGATCATCTAGTAATCATTTACAAAGAATGTTCAAATTATGCCCCTATGGTCAAATACGGTCCTCCAGGGAGTCATCAATATTACTTTGAGTTAAGTAGACCTAGAGCTTTAGTATTTGGTATATAACATCATCTAGTTGTCCTTTGTGAATATTGTTCAAATCATTCCCCTGGGATCAAAAGGGGCCCACCAGGCGCCTAGTTAGTTTTATAGAGTTGTTTATGAAAATTTTAAAAATTCTTCACCTAAAAATCACAAGACCTAGTGCTTTGATATTTGGTATATAAGGTCATCGAGTTGTCTTCAAAAAATATTAAAACAAGTTTTAACAACATCTAAAGCACTGATTCAATTTTTCAAAAAGTTCCTTGATGACAGTGTACACTTTTTTTATTCAGCCGTCCCTTGTTCTCAAATTGTGTTTCTGGGGTTAAACGGGCTCCAATGTAACCTTTTGACATTAAGCCCGTCTCTGAACCATCGCTGAACACGTGTTACTGTATATTTGTGTTGAAAACAAAGGCTTATCCGAACGTTTTCCAAACAAGGTTTAATATCCACCGTCGCCGATCTGCGTAATCAATTTGTGGAATTGTTCAATTCTAACAAAACTTTCTTCTGCACAAGCTTTGAACGACATCCTGTGCTCGTAATGTCACTTGTGCTAAAAGTCCTTGATTAAATATCGCACTATAGAAAACATCCCTCGTCTAGTTAAATGTGTATTTGTTTTCTTGGTTTTGAATATGATGAAATCCTCATCAACGTTCCATTTAATGCCTAATACACGATCATAAAGAAGTTCGTATTCGGGACTGAGGCTAACAATAATGGGTGTAAATTCGTAATCCAAAATTGCATCAAGGACTGCCCTGTTGTTGCTGACTCACTTTGTATGTCTTAAGCCTCCCATTTTCATCAATGTAAATCAGTGTAAATCCGCAGCTTACTTCGTCGATTTTCTTCTGAATCAACAGATTTCAGGTCAACAGATTTCAGGCAAACATCGACATGCTTATTACAGTTTCTATAACTTTATCAGGAAATTGGTTCGCGTTGACAATGGTTGTTCTTCTTAAATCATAAGCTGCATAGCTAGGACATGATGTGGCACCGAACAGATGAACCTACATACAATACGTTTTAGGAAGTAGAGACATGTCCCCATTAGGCCACCACAGAAACCGGAGTACGTGGCAGTCTGTTTCAATCACATGAACTTGATTGACCATAGCCTCTATATAAACAGTTAAAACTACATTTTCCTCACAGATTCTGATAGGTACCCCTACTAAACTGTTCATAAAAATTGCTGAATTATTTGGTAAGTCAATATCGTCTGCCAAAGTAGTCCCATCTTATAGTGTCTATCTACGTATAAAAGGAATGATTCCATTATGACCAACGCACTTTTATCTTCGATCGACATTGACTCTTTATTGCATAATTGAACATCGTTGAAGTCAGACGTCCACATACGCTCGAGCTGTTGCAGTATTATTTCATTTGAGTGACCAAAGTTTAAATTTGCTCTTTTATGTCTTGTTCTGTTCTATATACGT